TTACAGACAGACAGGACACTAAACACAGAGGCAACACTAAAATACAACATCGTAAAAAAAGTAGTCATTGAAATCCATACAGTAGTCAGATATAGCAGGTGCAAACACCCACAGATGATTTCTCCAGCTCTTTTAAAATGAGTTTAAAATCTGTGATGGGTATCAAACTGGTCAGCTTAAGTTCCTGCTGAAGTGTGTTCCAGGTCGAGGGGGCAGAGTATGATATGGCTTTTTTCCCAAGCACCGTTGCCTTCCTGGTACTTCTAGCTTCTCTGTTCCCGCTCCTTCTGATTTCTACCATCCTGCGTCTCTCTCCTCACTATGTTATGGTTTATCATGTTATCGTATGTGTGTTTTTTTGCGCCTTCAAGAAGAGATAGCCTGGTGTCGCTCTTCGTTGGGTCGCGTCTGGTTCGTGCTAACACTTCCCGATATAGTGGGTCAGCGTGTGTGTGGTAATCCTCTTGGTTTGTATACGGTGTGTGGTTCCTCGTGACTTCTGTATGTGTTGTGCATTGTGTATCGTGACTGTGTTTTTTTTGTTCGTTGGGTGTTGGGTTTTGTGTAGTAGGGGTTTGTGGTCTCTACAAGTGAGTGCATACTCCGTCGGATAGGGGTGGTGGTGTGTGTGTGTCCTTTTTGTTGTGTTTAGGGGTGCTCGCTTTTTGGTGTAGCGCTTTCGCCTTCGGAAGAAACAGGTTCAAAGTTCCATTCCGACGAGCTAATCCGTTTATATTATGCAGCTAATGAAACCAGTTAACCTAATAGCGCTAAATAATTTTTTGCTAATAGGTAAATGAAACTTTTGTAGTAATAACCTCTGTAAAAAAAATTTGTCATTACAAATATGTCAACTATGGGACTTGAAAGAATTAAGTGACTTTTTGTCTTTTTCTCCTAATATATTTTTATTTTTATTAGTCAGAAAGAAGCTAATGAACGAAAAGCATTAGCAACGTTATCGATATTTAGCATTAACGCTAATTTTTGCCATTACTCGCGGATCAAGTTCGTTTTCAGTTTTGCTGTGAAGCGAAACGGAAAATAAGAGACTAAGTACGGAAAGTTAATATGAAGTCGATAGTTATTCGACACACTTTAGTTACTTAACAGTGTATATTCATTTTTCGTCTTCCTCTGATTTTACTTGTTAACAACCTTAACAACGCGTACTTTTATTAATAATGTTAACTTTGTATGCAAAAAATATGTAAGAAAAATGTGAAACTATGAAAGAAACATTAAAATCTATTACAAAGAAGCAGGACCTTTGACTCCCAAATGCGATTCCTCTCCTTCTTCGTCACAACTCTTTCGCGCTCCACTCAAAGTCTTCGTCGTGGTCCAAGCAAGGACCCCCTTCACCTTTCCCTCCTTCCCTGATGCTAAAGTAATAACGCTACCTCCTTTTAACGAAGTTTCTTGACATTTAAAACCAGAGTCGACGAGAGGAGAGCTTCTCCCCCGACCCGTACTTCCCTCCCTCGTCCAGACTATTTTCCACCTTCGTTCCTTACCCGTATTCTAACTTACTAGAAATACTAAATTAAAGTGACAGGTTCCTCAATACAAAAACTAAGTACAAACGGCTTCCAAATGTCCTGATGACTACCGAACTTGCGTCTGGTTTACGCCTGTTCCGTAGAAATGCCAGGTCTAGTATTGATTTTTCCTCTTTATGTGTGAATGGTACAGTGCTTCTCAAACGATTGTAATTCGTGTGATGCTGACCAGGAGCTATTTGTTTCGCTCCGGAAATCGTCGTTTGGAAAGCCTACGTGGTTTCCTCGTTATCCTTAACGTAACGTTTAAGCTAACTTTTTCGGTTTAATGTAGTGAGAAGGCAGGG